CTCCCACGGTATGCTTTTAAAACGAAAATATAACCCTCGCTCAATACAATTTATATTTATTCTGGCAGCAAGTTACTGGCCAGAGTAATGGCGGCCGTCGAATTTCCGGTATGCGCGACACGACATGCGCGAGGACACCGACTTCAAAGGATCCGACACTCAGTTGCCCTTCTATTCATTTCTTATTCTATGACCTGAGTGAGACACGTCAATATATTTTAAAATATTTTTCGAATTATTCGAAGACCACATTTTACGGAAAGAAATTTAAACAGAAATCTAAAAGAAGAATCTCTTATCAGGTATGTTGATTTTACATTAACGTAGCTTGTGACCATAGCTTTTGACAATACTTTGACGATTCATTCAGAACAGTCATCCATTGTACTGACAATACCTGCACCTGAAATTACCATAATATATTTATATATAAAAGTAAACATGTGTATTGAATTTGGACGGCTTCAAAGTTTCATACTAATATAGAGACAAAGACAAACGAAAAAGCGCGAGGACAAATGCTTTTACGGTTTGCCTCAACGCTAAGCTGATGAATTTTATATTTCTGAATATTTTATGTATAAATTTACACTAGTCACTACTGCTAATATGTTCAAGACAATGTCAATGAACCAATAGCTGTGATTATAATTTTGCAAAAATTTGGCTTTTGAATAAGGTTATGTCTACTATCATCAGCATTACAGGCATTAGAAGTTGTTAAATGGCTGGGTTAGAAATTTAAAGATTTTTATTGAATTAAGCTAATTTGTACACAGAATAGCTTGAACTGACTGGCGAAAGATGGAAATCTTGACAGCCAGCTGCCCAAAGACAGAAATCTTGACAGCTTAGAAGTTCTTGCTATGACTGTGGGTTACAATTTTAAGATTTTTGTTAAATTAAGGTACTATGTACACAGAATAGCTTGAACTGACTGCTGAAAGACAGAAATCTTGACAGCCAGCTGCCCAAAGACACAGAAATCTTGACAGCTTAGAAGTTCTTGCTATGACTGTGGGTTAAAATTTTAAAATTTTTGTTAAATTAAGCTACTATGTACACAGAATAACTTGAACTGACTGCCGAAAGACAGAAATCTTGACAGCTTTAGAAGTTCTTGCTATGACTGTGGATTAAAATGTTAAGATTTTTGTTGAATTAAGCTATGTACTTATATTTACATTAAAATTAAGTGTGATGATTCACAATGACTGAACCGTCAACTGGGGCTATTTGGGACAATTTTTTCGTTCAAAATTAAAAAAAAAAATTGAAAACCTAAATTATTTCATCAGCAATTAGTGATTTTAATTTAATCCCTGCATGCTGTTTTGTGCCATGTGACAAAATTATTTTATCCATAAAAAATTAGATTTTTTTTTAAAAAAATTGCTCTTGTCCCAAATTACCCCAGTTTGACTAATTTGGGACACTTACGTATTTTGCTAAAAGTCCCATTTAAGACCACCCTGGCAAATTTGGAACACTTGTGTGAAATTTTTCAATATGTCCTATGCAGCATTTTTTAACATATGCAGGTGTCCCAATTTACCCAACATTGGGGGTAAATTGGGACAATAACAATTCAATACTGACACAGTAGAAATGAACGTCAACTAATTCTATTTATAACAAAAACATAAAAATACTTAGAAGCTAAAATGCTTCCATCAAAGTGTCAAAATAAAGTTTAAAGACCAGCTTATTTATGGTTAATAGAAATAGCAAAAGATCTGATCCTCTCTGATTTAGAGAGAGTACGTAAACAAAAGATCTGATCCTCTCTGATTTAGAGAGAGTACGTAACTGGTGCTTTGATAATGTCTTACTATTAAACCCAGATAAAATAAAGCTGATGGTGTTCGGAAGTCGCCAAATGCTCACCAAAGTGCCTGATTTCCGCCTCCCCTTTTTGGGTAAAGAACTTGTACCATGTCAAACAATTAAAGATCTTGGCGTAAAATTTGACCCTATCTTATCTTTTGATACACATATAACATCAAATGTATCATCTTGCATGTCAAAACTGGGTCAGATCAACCGAGTAAAACATGCCTTCAACTCCACCCTTTTAACCACCATTATTCATATGCTTGTTTTTAGCAAGCTATTCTATTGCTCCTCTGTCTGGTCAACTACCTCTGCTGGAAATATAGCCCGGTTGCAGCATGTACAAAATTTTGCAGCCCGCATCATCAGTGGTACCAGGAAGTTTGATCATATGACACCTGTATTGAAAACCTTAAGGTGGCTTCCCGTCAAAACACAACTATACCTGAGGGATGCAATTTATGCATTCAAATGTATGACTGACCGAGCACCTGGCTACTTGACAACGCAGTTAACTACCAGACAGGAAATCTCTGGCTGTGTGACCCGCAACTCCCAGCAATTAAACATTCCTCGTTTTAGAACTGCGACTGGACAGAAATCTTTTTCATACAGAATAATTTCCATATGGAATAGATAGTAATCTTAAATTATGTAATGACATTCCAGCTTTTAAGAGAGATCTTAAGAAGAAACTTTTAGGACAATTTCTAGAATCATGATATTTTGGATATGCATAGCATACATATAGGATATTCTTTTATAGCTTATGGTAGTTCATAAATTAGTTCTTTGCACATATATTTAGATATATTTTATGTATGATCACTGAAAAGCCCCTGATTGGGGAGGGTTCATTAAATTTCAAATTCAAATTCAAAATATTTCCATCCTCTTCCAATCTTTGTCAATTTAAGTTGCACATCAGTCTCAAAGACTTTTTCAGAAAAGACTGCTTGACTGTCTTTCTCAAGACTTTGTGGTTCTTTCACACCAAATGGTTTTTAGATACATTGGACATAACATTCGTTATTTACTTTCCTCTGAACTTTTCCTAAAAATACCTCGTCTTCGTACAACACTTTCACCCACTGTCCCATGGAAACATTATCATATGTTAATTCCTTCAGACTAGTGGCACCAACTGGAGTTGTTTCAATTTCCATTTCTTTTGCATCATCACTCCTTTCTGGATCTGAAATGCTATTTCCTTCTTCTGAGGAATCTGCTTCACTTTCTTCTGAGGAATCTGCTTCACTTTCTTCTGAGTCACTACTTTCTAAGTCTCAAGAAGAAATAGTCTTGCCAGGTTCAACAGCAATCTTTTTCCTCCGAGGTGCTTTGATGTTTTCTGTTGTACCACGCATTGATTTCAATTGCTCAAGAACATTAGAAACACTGTTATTAATATCTTCAGGAAACGATTGACTAGGTAATTTTCTCAGCAATTCCTGTGCATTTAAAGGGTAAATTCCACAGGTTTTAAAACCTGAAACCAGGTTTTTCAGATTTAGAGATTCTTCAAGCTCTTTTAAGAGCCTCGGAAAAGCATCTTTAGGTAATGTAGCTTGGCCTGTGTTCTGTAATTTCCATTCTTTTAAGATTTTACGCTTTAGTGGCCCACAAAAAGCGACATCTAGGGGTTGAGAAAGGTGAGTGCTATTAGGCACCAAGCAGACAAAGGAAATATTCTCCTGTTTGCATAAATCTAATACATCACTGGAAAAGTGACTTGACAAATTGTCCCCTATCATTACTTTTGGGCCTTCAATTTTCCTAGCCCATGGCAAAATAATGGATCGAAACCAATCATCAAAACATATTGTATCAAACCATCCACTTTTCGAGCGATTGTACCGAGTCCTGCGTGGTCCTCCAGTTGTCCAAGTGTTCCACAGATTGGCAGCTTTGTAAACAACATAGCTGGGTAGTAATTCTCCAGCAGCAGTTCCTGCAAACATAATGCTGATACCCCTTTGGAATAATTTTGAATTCGTTCTGGATACTTCTTTCCCCTTTTGAAGATGAGCTTCTCTTGTCCAGGATCATCAGACAAGTTTGTTTCATCATAATTAAGGATATTTTCAGGGGGGACATTTGTTATGACTTGACTGAGATTTTCAAAGTAGTTTTCAAAGTCCTCTTTCTTCATTTCTGCACGCAAACTTTCAATATTTTGATAATGCTGACGACTAAGTTCGTTTGAATGGCGCTTCAAGAAACTTCTTGCCCAATCTTCCCTTGTAATGTTATTTTTTAATCAGTTTACTCGGCGGTTAGCTTTATCCAAATAGGCTTTCACCATCAAGCATAAGTCTAGATTTGAAAAAGGAAACCCCCACTCTGCTACCACAATAAGATGTTTTACAAAAGATCTTTCTTCCTCAGGGGACAAGTTTGGTGGGTGGCCAATAGGTCTCATTTGAATTCCTTTAAGTTTACGATGTAATGTTGACTTAGGAATGTTAAATGACAATGAAGTTTCACGAATTGACATATTACCTTCATGAATTGGAACAATTGCATTCTTAATAGCATCTTGTGTATAGTCCCCATACCTTTTCTTTTTAGATCCAATAACTTTTTTGTATTTTCTCATGATAAATAAATATTTTCAACACTGGTCTTCATCCAAAAAATATGGCGTCATGCAAAGAATGTGGCGTGTGGGCACATACATAGGTGTACATAAGCGATCACATGCACCCCACACTGTCCCAAATTACCCCCACTTTAACCCTGATTTGAAATTTGAGCCTGCTATCAAAATACCAGTCAGCAAAACACTAAAGACTTCATATAATCTTAATAAGGGATAGATGCACAAATTAAAATATTAGAATGTTTTCCCTAGAAATTTATGTTGTACAGCAATACCGACATATTTTTTTAGGTTACTGTGGGAATGGCTTAACCCCATAAATTGTAGAAATCTAAAAATATTGGCCTCGAAGGCATTTATTTTACTGTTTTCATTCTGTCAGATAACAAAATTGACTTACTTAGGCCAATGTAATTTTTAAAAAAAAATAAATTTATTGCATGCATGTGAAATATGAGAAATGTGATATGGTGCTTTTTTGTCCCAAATTATACCACTATCCCAAAAAGCCCCAGTTGATGGAACTGATAATAATCATACTGAATAATTTTTAATAATTTTTAGCCATCAATGGTTGCAAAGCTGTTAAAATTCCTAGAAGGCTTAGTCTCCAACTTGGTAAAGATTCAGAAGCTTTTATCCCCCATTGAAAGAAGTTCCTTGTTTCTAAGCTGCTCACCAATGATCTTAAGGATTTTACCATATGAAAACACATCACTGGCCTTACTGACTGGATCACCATTAAGTACTTCTGGTGCACTATGGGGATATACTGTTTTATATTTCTTTGCTCTTGGATTCCTGACCTTACAGACTTTTCCAAAATCAACCAAATAACCCTTTTGGTTGGAAACCAAAACATTATTTGACTTCAAGTCACAATGCAAATATTCCTTTTGATGAATATAATGCACAGCATCAACTATGTCATAGCATACTCTAAACCAGTTTGGAAGCAACATTCTGGATTTCTGCTCACTAAATACAGCATCGAAAAGTAACCTATACACTGTCATAGATTCCACTCCATGTCCAAGAAATTCCGTGATGAGAGAATATGGCTTTATTTGGGTCTGGATTCCTATCAGATGAGGCACACATCGATGCGAAAATAACTGCATGTAATATGCTTCATCATAAAGTAATTTCAGATCACTTTCAACCAACTTTTTCTCAACCACACGTATTCCTAACCGCAAATATTGTTTGAGATGGCATTCTCCAAACGTTCCTGCCCCTACGATTTGGTTAACATCTTCAAGTTTTTCTGGTAGCACTTGGGAAAATACATAGGTTGACATACTTTTTTCATGTGCACCAATATCTACATAAGAATTCTGTAAAATAGTTTGACCAATTAGCATAATATATTGTTTGTTAGAATATCTCATATTTGTATTGTTGGGAACAGGTGGGAAATTTGTCTGAGCATGCGCGGGTAAAATGAGTCACGCAATTGTGTGGAATACACGCAACGCGTGTTTACAAAAAAGCACAATCGTGTAAATATTGCCAAAGGTTTGTACAAAATAAATGACTGTTTTATGTTGAAAGAGTGAACATGTTCTAAATTAATCATACAGAACTTTTTAGTGACGTTCTATTTCAGTACCCTGCCATTGTCTCTGGTGGGCTGTCCGTGTGCATTCGATCTGAAACAGTTGCTACTTTGCTGTCAAAGAATTTCGAATGTTTACATGAAAATAGAGACAAGTCATGCATTTTACAACCTCTTAAACTGTATGAGCCCCTATTTTTACGCTTATACCCAAGACATCAAATAAAAGTACATGAAACAGAGAACATTTGTAGAAAGTTTTATCGTGAGGCCAAGGCCAGTTTTTAAAATATCTTTATTTCTGTTCCGGTCGTCACCAAAATTACACAAAAGCCGGTCTTGAATATACAACAAATTTTTAATAATTTTTAGCCATCAATGGTTGCAAAGCTGTTAAAATTCCTAGAAGGCTTAGTCTCCAACTTGGTAAAGATTCAGAAGGTTTTATCCCCCATTGAAAGAAGTTCCTTGTTTCTAAGCTGCTCACCAATGATCTTAAGGATTTTACCATATGAAAACACATCACTGGCCTTACTGACTGGATCACCATTAAGTACTTCTGGTGCAATATGGGGATATACTGTTTTATATTTCTTTGCTCTTGGATTCCTGACCTTACAGACTTTTCCAAAATCAACCAAATAACCCTTTTGGTTGGAAACCAAAACATTATTTGACTTCAAGTCACAATGCAAATATTCCTTTTGATGAATATAATGCACAGCATCAACTATGTCATAGCATACTCTAAACCAGTTTGGAAGCAACATTCTGGATTTCTGCTCACTAAATACAGCATCGAAAAGTAACCTATACACTGTCATAGATTCCACTCCATGTCCAAGAAATTCTGTGATGAGAGAATATGGCTTTATTTGGGTCTGGATTCCTATCAGATGAGGCACACATCGATGCGAAAATAACTGCATGTAATATGCTTCATCATAAAGTAATTTCAGATCACTTTCAACCAACTTTTTCTCAACCACACGTATTCCTAACCGCAAATATTGTTTGAGATGGCATTCTCCAAACGTTCCTGCCCCTACGATTTGGTTAACATCTTCAAGTTTTTCTGGTAGCACTTGGGAAAATACATAGGTTGACATACTTTTTTCATGTGCACCAATATCTACATAAGAATTCTGTAAAATAGTTTGACCAATTAGCATAATATATTGTTTGTTAGAATATCTCATATTTGTATTGTTGGGAACAGGTGGGAAATTTGTCTGAGCATGCGCGGGTAAAATGAGTCACGCAATTGTGTGGAATACACGCAACGCGTGTTTACAAAAAAGCACAATCGTGTAAATATTGCCAAAGGTTTGTACAAAATAAATGACTGTTTTATGTTGAAAGAGTGAATATGTTCTAAATTAATCATACAGAACTTTTTAGTGACGTTCTATTTCAGTACCCTGCCATTGTCTCTGGTGGGCTGTCTGTGTGCATTCGATCTGAAACAGTTGCTACTTTGCTGTCGAAGAATTTCGAATGTTTACATGAAAATAGAGACAAGTCATGCATTTTACAACCTCTTAAACTGTATGAGCCCCTATTTTTACGCTTATACCCAAGACATCAAATAAAAGTACATGAAACAGAGAACATTTGTAGAAAGTTTTATCGTGAGGCCAAGGCCAGTTTTTAAAATATCTTTATTTCTGTTCCAGTCATCACCAAAATTACACAAAAGCCGGTCTTGAATATACAACAAATTTTGAATCGCATCAAGCACAAAAATACTTAACGTGTAAGCAAAATATGCTCATGAAATCGAAATTAATAGCTAAATTTTCAAACTAGACCCTTCTCGAAGCGGTTTTTGTGAAGGAAGTTCACATTTCGGCCTTTGATTCTTGGCAAAAATTTGACCACAACACGTGCGAAGCAACTGGGTCTCAAAGACTGAACTAAAACATTGTGAGCCCCTATTTTCCTGACGATATGTTTGATACCTACAAACGCCGAAAAGTTTTTTCTTTTCATTTAGCTATATTTGAAATTGAGGCCACGGGCTATTTTTGAGAAAATACAGTTCAAATCAAGCTATTTTTACATATTTTCAAAATTTGTCAAATTTCGCGAGCTTGTATTTTGAACTTAGACAGGTGAAGTTACATTAACAAACATAGGATGGAAAATTTGAGGCATATAAAGTTAATTTCAACTTACATTTCATTCTCAAATCACGTCTTTCTTCGTTCATTACGGTTTTAAACAAGCCATAGATCGACGTATACGGTATTTACTCCCATGTTCACGTCGCCATATTAACTTCTTCCAATCACTCGATTACAAAACAATCATCCCAAAACAAAGAATTCATGATCGACTTTTAAAAGAATAACCAATAATTTGTAAATCGTTGAATGGAAAGCAAAAAATCGTCAGCTAAAACAGCTTCTTGCTAACTTTCTTCTTTGTTTTGAATGTAAATGCAATGAGCTTTGTTTCTGCCCGCAATTTTTTTGGTCAGCGATGACAAATTTCCCACCTGTTATTGTTGGGTATTTATTTAGCTTTGCCACAAGGGCAGGGTCACCACAACAGCATATGCCAATTACTGTGAGTCCGTATTACCTTACCCACCCTGTCAACTTCTCTGTGGGAAGAAACCAGAGTACCCGATGGAAACCCACAACTTTTGGCAGAGTATTGACTTATTATACTTTGTTCACCAGCCTAGTCCCTAGGCCTCTTAGTTCGCCTATTGCGCGTTTCTGCATATTAATGAGGTGACGGCTCCTGAGAGGCCTAGAATAAAATGTTTCAAGCGAGCCAAAAGTGGGGACAAAGTGTCC